AGCAGGAAGTGGGAGTGGTATCTTCTGAGGGAACATGCTGGACATCACTGTGGATATGGCAGGACTTTGCTTTAGGGAGAGAACAATCATTAGTTCAACTCTTAGAGGAGATAAAAGTGGACAATTTTGGCATTTCTTAAAAAACATCATATAGACAGCACTATGGAGCTCATAGGAGCTCTGGTAGCATAGTGTCTAAGGCACTTGACTGCTAACCAGAAGGCTGGTGGTTCAAACCCACCAGCCACTCCTTGGAAGGAAGGTTGGGCAATCTACTTCCATAGTGATACTGCCTAGGAAACCCAAGGAGGGGTCGCTATGAGTCAGGTCCAACTCAACGGCACATAACAACAACAATGGAGCTCATGTTTAGAAAACTTTGGCTATAACATAAGTTTGTCAAATTTGTTGTGGCTTTTTGGACACCAAAACAAAAATATATTAAATGAAAATAATTTATTCTTTATGTATATAAAATGTTTGAGAAAGTTTCTTTTCTTTTCTTTTTTCCCTCCCATGTAGAAGAGTGTAATTCTCACCTGTGCTTGAGAAGGGATATTTATTGAAGTTTTTTTTGGGAAATTTTTATCTTTCTACAGATTTATAATTACATTCTTCTGATTATAACCCAAATAATTTCTTAACCATTTTATTACTTAAGCAAATGTTCAATTTCATTGTATTGCAACCACTGCTGTGGAGTCGGATCCTACTCATAGCGACCCCTCCTTGGGTTTCTGAGGCAGTATCACTACGAAAGCAGATTGCCCAACCTTCCTTCTGTGGAGTGGCTGGTGAGTTTGAACTGCCAGCCTTCTGGTTAGCAGTCAAATGCCTTAGGCACTACGCCACCAAGGCTCCCTGTATTACATAATAGAGTGGATGTAATGTTTTTATTATCTAAAATTATTTGATTCTCTGTGTGACTGATAAACTTTTCTGATAATTCAAATTGAATATGCAAAACTGGAACGACTTGCCTATAGTGTATTTCAACTGTTAGCCCATCCAACTGTATATTAATACTGGTGTATTATAAGTAAATCAAATATCTGAAGATTTGGATTTACATAGGAAATAAATTTGAAAGTGATTATTTCATTTACAAAATAAACTTTTATTCTTCAAAAGAAAAAAAAAAAGGTGGATATCTCATCTCACCACCAAGAGGCTGGTCTTAACTCATCTTCAGAATGCTGAAATCTGCCTGGGCCTGTTTTTGGGAAACAGTACCCTCTAGAGGAAAAAGAGCATGTGTTTTGGGTGGGGCAGTAACAAACCATTCCCAGAGCTTGGCCTGCTTCCTTCCCCAGGGGCCTGGACAGCTTGGGGGTGTAGTGTAGTGGTTTGTTTGTCCACTTCTGACTCTGACCACCATGGAGAACAAAGCTGCCTGGCTGTGGGAGGTAGCACAACAACTGGAAGCAGCAGATAACAGCTGGAGGTGGCAGATATAAAGGCTGGCAACAGCGAGCACAACAGCTGAGGCGGCAATCACAATAGCAGAAGCAGCAAAGAGGCTAGCCAGTAGCCAAAATCTCCAGTGCCTATGAATGCATAGCCTTAACACTGAACTCAGGAGCTCTGGTGGCATAGTGCCTAAGGCACTTGGCTGCTAACCAGAAGGCTGGTGGTTCAAACCCACCAGCCACTCCTCAGAAGGAAGTTGGGCAATCTACTTCTGTAGTGATACTGCCTCGGAAACCCAAAGAGGGGTCGCTATGAGTCGGGTCCGACTCTACGGCACCTAACAACAACAACAACACTGAATTCTGGAAGCTCCAGGCTCTATCTTCTCTGTCTCAGCTGTGATGCATTATTCAGGGTACTACCAAGGCAAGCCTGAGACTATGAAACCCATGAGAGTGATCCTGGAATACACAGAAGCAGTTGCTACAATGAAAAACTTCTGAACCAGGAGCTAGAAGACCTAGGTTCTGGATCCAGCTCTACTACTGACCTGCTTGGGCCAAATCTCTCTGAGCCTTAGTTTCTAATGATGCCTTTCCTATGTACCTCATGGTGTTGAGGATCAAATTACATATTTTAGAAACTGTAAAGAGATATGGAATCATAGACTCTTATTTTGGAGGCAATAAGCAAGGCTTTCCTTGGGCCCCGAAAGCTTCCACCCCCTCAGATACACAGAATCAACCCTTAGCACAAAGCAAGCTTAGGACTTTGATGGGGGATCCCTGATTGTCACCATAAAAAGCGTGGAGGTAGGAGTGGGGAGGAGGAGGCAGGCATCCAAAGTAGATTAGCATTTGTGTAGCAGTTGTGTATTAAAGTCTATGAGATGAAATCTTACCATCCTAACTTCTAGGGAGCATTCTGGCTGTCCTTCTTCTAAGATAGACCTGTTTGTTTTTCTAGCATGCAATATGTAAACTTAAATGTTACATAGATGCAACTATTTATTATTAATGTTACTCTTACTACTAAGTACTGAATAAGGCTTTACTTGGGCTCTAAATAATAATTCTTCAAACTTCTGATTGTAGACCTTTGTTTTTGGTCCAAAATAGCCAAAGATATTGAGAGTGGGTGGCATGCAAGTCTGGCTCAGTCTTCTCATTTGGAAAAAAGTTCCAAATGGGCCGGAGGTGGATAAAATGGGCATCCTAGTTGTTTCTGAACATTCTTGGGGTTATCATCCACTGGTGATCTTGAAGTCAGTGACCACTTGGGTGGGTGCATGGATGGACCCAAATAATTAAAGTTTTCCAGCGGACTAGGCCCTCGGGAAGATAGGGTAGGGGAGGCAGTATAAAGAAGAAGAACATAAATGGTTCAGACTTCATAGAGTGAAGAATGGATAGACCTCTCTGTTCTCCAAGAAAGTCCAAAGTCCCCAAAGATTACCCTGTACCTTCTCAGAAGATACAGCCATCGAACTGAGCCAAGGGTCCAACTGGTTAAAATTCTTTCTTTGTTGGAAAAGTACAAGTTACTTGTTGAGCAGAGGTGCCAGGCACCTTGTATTAAGTAAACTGTCTCCTATTTCAGTGCCTTGTCCCACTTTCTACTATCAGGGCAAATAGTAATCCTAAATTTGGGCCTGTGCAAACATAGCCACTGACTAATATACACTCCTAATTCCCCTACTTCACTTGGTCAAGACAGTTTTGCCACCTAACATCTGGCATTTCTCACAGTGTTTGGGAAAATGGCCCAGTGCTGCCAGGGAGCTCCAGCAAGTTGTTTCTCCCCCACCATAGGTGATTTCTTTGTGTTCAGGTGCTGTCTGTGCCTGTTCCGGTCACTTAGTACTATTCTGACAAGAATATACCACAAATGGGATGCCTTAACAAACAGGAGTTTATTCTCTTACAGTTAGGGAGGCTTTAAGTCCAAGTTCAAAGTGCCAAGCTCTAGGGGCTGTGTGAAAGCCCCTCAATCCTGGGTTCCAGCTCTGCCTCTTGCTCCCGGCCCACTGAAGCTGGAGGCATCTCTTCACTCAGGCAGCTACTGGCTACTGAGGCTAACAAGCCCAAGGTCAACAAATAAAATGGCATAGTCATTTGAATTAATGGTAGGCCATTAATTCAAGTCCATTGTAAGTCCCAAGATCAGGAGAGAATGGCATGCTGCTGAACGATGACATGGCTACATACAGGGTCCAAGTGTGCCATAAGCTAGAGACTATCCCTGATGCTTGTCCTTATACACAGGAAGCAGACCACATCCCAAAGGCAGCTACTCAGCTGCTTGTGGTAGATCCCACCATGGAGTTGACTGCCAGTCTCCTCATGGGAAATCACTACCACCAGCAGCCCAGCCACTCAACCAGGCCCAGCCAAGTTGACGTACAAATTTAACTACCACAGTGCCCTTCCAAATATAACCGCACCTTAGCCCAGACTGAATTTCCAAAAATGATGCAGACAGACAATAATAATAAATAGTGCTTGGATGATATAAAGGCTGACAATGGCAAACACAAAAGCTGGAGGTGGCAATCACAATAGCCAGAAGCAGCAAAGAGGCTAGCCAGTAGCCAAAATCTCCAGTGTCTAAGAATACATAGCATTAACAATGAACTCTGGAAGCTCCGGGCTCTGTCTTCTCTGTCTCAGCTGTGGTCCCCTGTACAGGGTACTATGAGGACAACTCCTGAGAGTATGTTGTTGTTATATGTCGTCGAGTTGGACCCAACTCATAGTGACCCTTCCTTGGGCTGCCGAGGCAGTACCACTACGGAAGTATATTGTCCAACCTTCCTTCCAAGGAGTGGCTGGTGGGTTTGAACCACCAGCCTTCTGGTTAGCAGTCAAGTGTCAGGCATTATGCTATCAGAGCTCCTCCTGAGAGTATAAGACCCATGAAAATGGGTAAACAGTAGCAGTTGTAATTAAGATGTTCTGGACCAGATGACAGGAAACCTGGGTTCAAGAACATCTCAAACATTAGAAAAATGGGAAGTTTCTACAATTTACTGAGCCTAATGAATATCTTAGTATCACTCTGGATATTGATTTAGGACTAGGGGAGAGAATGAAGAAATTAAAGGTATATGTATATTAAGAGGGATTGACCTGGAAGGATTTCAATGACCATTCATAAGGGTGGGGAGTGATCCTATCTTAGCATTAGGGATTTCCACAGAACTGGTTTTGTAGTAAATGGAGATCGATAGAACCCTCTTTAGTCTCAGCCCTACCTTTAAGGAACTGTGAACTTACTGCTCGTTCTATTTATGTCTCTCCTCTTCTAAGTGTTATAAATATCATACTACATTGCAATTATATGCTTACTGAACACGTGTCTTTCTCACTGGGCTGAGTTCTTGGAGAGCAAGGATGAAGGATTTTTCATCTTTGATTTAGTAGCACCTTGCACAGTGCTATGTATGTAGCAAGTGCTCAGTAAACATTTGCTAATTAAAGAACAATCAAGTGGCACTAAAATGAATGCTACTTCCTCCTTTGCATTGGGTGGTGGCTACAGTTAGCTGGATTTATGCAATAACCTCCATTATGTTGTCTTGCTCCCCCTAGATGACATCCGTTGCAAAGGTGTATTACAGTCAGACCACTCAGACGGAAAGCCTGCCCTTAATGGGCCCAGGGGTACGACGTCGGAGAGTCCTGACAAAAGATGGTCGCAGCAACGTGAGGATGGAACACATTGCCGACAAGCGCTTCCTCTACCTCAAAGACCTATGGACAACATTCATTGACATGCAGTGGCGCTACAAGCTTCTGCTCTTCTCTGCAACCTTTGCAGGCACCTGGTTCCTCTTTGGTGTGGTGTGGTATCTAGTAGCTGTGATCCATGGAGACCTGCTGGAGCTGGGCCCCCCAGCCAATCATACCCCCTGTGTGGTACAGGTGCACACACTCACTGGGGCCTTCCTCTTCTCTCTGGAATCCCAGACCACCATTGGCTATGGCTTCCGCTACATCAGCGAAGAGTGTCCACTGGCTATTGTGCTTCTCATTGCCCAACTGGTGCTCACCACCATTCTGGAGATCTTCATCACAGGTACCTTTCTGGCCAAGATTGCTCGGCCCAAGAAGCGGGCTGAGACCATTCGTTTCAGCCAGCATGCGGTCGTAGCTGCCCACAACGGGAAACCCTGCCTTATGATCCGAGTTGCCAATATGCGTAAGAGCCTCCTCATAGGCTGCCAGGTGACAGGCAAGCTGCTTCAGACCCACCAGACCAAGGAGGGTGAGAACATCCGGCTCAACCAAGTCAATGTGACTTTCCAAGTAGACACAGCCTCTGACAGCCCCTTCCTCATTCTGCCCCTTACCTTCTACCATGTGGTAGATGAGACCAGTCCCTTGAAAGATCTCCCCCTTCGCAGTGGTGAAGGTGACTTCGAGCTGGTGCTGATCCTAAGTGGGACAGTGGAGTCTACTAGTGCCACCTGCCAGGTGCGCACTTCCTACCTGCCAGAGGAGATCCTTTGGGGCTATGAGTTTACGCCTGCCATCTCGTTGTCAGCCAGTGGCAAATACATAGCTGACTTCAGCCTTTTTGACCAAGTTGTGAAAGTGGCCCCTCCTGGTGGACTCCGTGACAGCACTCTACGCTATGGGGACCCAGAAAAGCTCAAGTTGGAGGAATCATTAAGGGAGCAAGCTGAGAAGGAGGGCAGTGCCCTTAGTGTGCGCATCAGCAATGTCTGATGCTGGATTCCCACCTCCCCGTCTCTCTGGTTTCTTTTCCTCTCTTTTGGCACCCTGGGTAAGGGATACTGCCCAGGTTTACTGAGTGCCCAGAAGCACCAATCTCCTTCTCGTTTAACCCAGTGGTCTGTGGGTAGTCTAGGCCAATTGAGGTTCAAGTTTTCCTCCCATTGTCCTCTTTCACCTTCCGCCTCCCTTTCATCCCAACACATACACCTCCTTTAGGTCAGGATGGGGGAAGAAGAGGGAGGATTAGGCTGAAGTGGCTTCGAAGGCCTCAGCCATGCTTGGAGACTCACATCAGGAGGACCATGCAGTTGGATGGAGAGATCCCCCCTGGCCACCATCAGAAAGTTTGGTGACTTGAGGCTGGAGCCCTCTCCTTTTCTATCTTCCCACTTAGCAAATTCCCTAAGGCAAGACTCTCTCTGATGATTATCTTGTGGTCTGTGCCCTCAGAAATATAGGAATCTGGAATCAATTTGGTCTGGAATGTTTACCACCTTTGTTGTAAGAAGCCAGGGTTTTTGATGGTGTAGTCAGTTTTCATTTTAGTTTCTGACCATAACCTAGGACCTTGGTCACCACTATTTTTCCCTCTAGTTTCTCAAGTGGATCCTCTCTTAGGATACCTAATTCTCTCATAGGTGCCTTTGTTCCCACAGAATTGGGGTTGATCTGAGAAACACAGAAAACCCCCACTGATGCTCAACTGAAAACTAGATCCACAGGGCAGATTTCCTGGGAAAGTTAAACCAACCCCACCAAGTGGGATGGGTAAATGTTCAGATTTCCAGTCTGCTGTACAAAGCCTCTGAGAATCAGTGATGCTTTGTTAAGGTTTGGGCAGAAGCAGAACTCTGTGGCTGGCAGCCACTATTTTCCCTGTTACTCTCCTGGTGCCCTCCTGAAAAGTGCCAGTTATTTCATCAGGCAATGCGGGGAGGGAAGGAAATGATACATCCTAATCAAATAACCATCGTCTCCCTTATCCATTCCCGAGACTTGGTATAAAATGATGGAGTTCTGTCTTGTTAGGTGTTAGGACACACTCCTTTTTGCCATGAAGCAGTTTTAAGCATGTTAAAAAGCATACTTAATAGAAGACTCAGGCCATTCCTTGGTCCCTGGTGGGGACTGACCTTCACAGTCAGGGAAAGGTATATGGGCACTAGAACTTTTTCTAAAGCCCCAAATCTCAAGAATGCTTTCCAGTCTTATTTAAGTACCAAGGGATCTCCACAGAGTGGTTTGGCATATAATCTCCGAAGGAATCAAGTGGAAATTTATGTGAATTGGACTCAGCCAATTAGGCTACAAGCTATACACTTGAGAGAATATGTACATGCATCTGTGTGCAGAGCCTTGCAAAGAAACCCATAAAATTTTGAATCTGGACCCACAGTCACCACCTGCTACAAATCCACAAAGTCCTCATATTAATCTCTTCTTGAACTCAATTAACTATGTTGAAAATGAAGATCCTTCGATCTCTACATCCTGTAAGCCCCACCATTACTCCCTAGCTCTCATGAAAACAAGAACCAGAAAAACTTGAAAATCTGAAACAGAGAACAAAGACAAAGAGTCAGTTTCTGGGCTCTCAACTTGACTCAACATTAGACTTATCTGAATTCTTTAGCTGTGTTAGGACAAAAAGTACTGCAGTGTGTGTGTGTGTGTGTGTGTGTATTTATCTGTTTTTACTTATTAACAAGTCATCCTTCATCTAGTTTCTTCTGCATGCATCTGCTTCTCTCTTGAAGGGTTACTCTCCTCCTGTTGCCCTGTTATCTATTCTAAGCCCCTTAGCTTCTTGGATAGCAAAGTGAGAAAAGGACATTTTCTGACTTACCCTTTTTGACCCTCCTCCACCATCCAAGACTGTGCTCTAAGTTGCACTTTAAATCATACTATCTCTTTAATGCAATCTGACACCTTCTCCCATAAACCCCTAGGGAACAACTCCTCCCTCCCTGTCCCATCCACAAACCCAAAATGGCTCTTGAGATTACAGCCTCCGTCTACTCTGAGCTAGAATCCTCTTGGCATTAGGACAAGCTTTAGAAGCAGCTAGGTCTGGTGAAAAATGAGCCTCCTGAGCACACCAGCCATAGACATGGAATGTCAGGAGAGCACCAGGCCAGAAGTTAAGAGGGGAGATTTCAGAAGATGAGTAAAACATGTGATAAGGGAAGATACCTGGGGTAAAAGATAAGAAAGGATGGATCTAGTGATTCAATAAAACCCTTGAGTCTTACTCATCTCCTTAGCATCACTCATTTGGGCTAGTAAACAAGAGGTGGGTGGAGGCTCAGGGAATTAGCATATAAGATACACATGAAAGGATTATCTAAGGAGAAAGAAACAGAGATAATATATAGAGAGATGTATATAGATGTATATATGACCAAATATACTGAATGTACAGAAAGAACTATTCAGAGACCTTAACATAGGGGGCAGATAGGCCCTGGTTGTGAGGTAGGATACTCTAGACTTCAGACTTACAACCTGTGATCCTGGCTTCAATATGGAGGTGAGATACCTGATGAAGGCTCTCAGGTTTAAGGATGGGAAAGGAGGAGTGGAGGCTGCTCTTCAGAAATACAGAGGCATCTACTGAGACTTTTGAGAATCCTTGCACTACTGGTAGGACCAGGAAAAGGGGATGGGGGAAAATTAGGAGGGCAGATACTGCATTCATAGAGATCTAGCTGAATCCATTACTTATACTGGGTGCCACCATCCTCAGCAGTGTTCTGTTGCTGTAGGTTTTTTATTTTTAAGTAAAAGCCCTCACTGTCTCCTTCTCTTCTCTAAATTTGAAGTGTACTGTATTTCCCCTCATTTCCACAGGGGTGGGGGGCAGCTGTCCTGGAGGTGATGACTGTATAGCTGAGAAACTGGACACCTTGGTGTGTGTGAGGCACTAAAGGGAAGCCTCAACCTTAGAATCTAAACACCAGGACTAAAGAGTTGTTGAGCCTAAGGTACTCCCAAGGCAGAGAGCCTCTCTCTATGGCTCTAAGAGCCCAAAGAGAATGCCATCTATGTCAGGAGTTTCAATCCTGACATTGGGGCATGGGGGGGGGTGCATAAGGTTTTGGAAATGATGCTTTTGTGTGAAAATGAGGAGTGGGGCTATCAACTACCCTAGGGGATGGTGCAATTCCATGAGAGGCTTCTGAAATCCCTACTCTGTGCTTCACCACATTATCTCCCCAACTCCCATCAGCTAATAAGACCATCCTTATGAGGCCTGAGCAGAAAAAGGAAGCTAGTTATACTACCGCTATCAGCCAGGGACACTGCCCCGCCTCAAGGCTGCTATCCTGGTCCTTTATCGCTGCTAGCTAACCTAGATTCTTTGTAAAATAACATACTACCTTTGCTGTAAAGTTAGCACGGGTCTTCTGCCTAAATAATGGCCCACTCTACTGAAGCTGCAGAATCTAGAGATGGTTTTTCTATTCACTGCATTAAAGACTAAACCAGGTCAGATTCACCTAGGAAAAAAAGATATGCATGTTTACTTGTTTATTTTTGTCTGTTCAGAAAAAGATACTAAATAAAATGGATGAATCTCTGTTCTTCATTCTATTTTCTTTTAGAAACCTAAACCAATACTGTTATCAAGGCTTGAATTCAGAGGCCTACGAATTTCTGACTGTGTGGCTAGGCCTTTCATTTATGATATCACTCACTCCCTCCACTCCTTTACCATATATCCCCTCACCAATTTTAGGATCTGTGTGGTGAAGACCAGCATGAATTCAATCCCCAAAATGAGGAGATTGATCCATTCCTCACATTCCCGCTCTCCATTCTCATTGTCAGCTATTCCTGCAGCACTTGCCACCTGGAGATAGGTCAGAGCTCATAAGTTAAAAGGACTGCAGACTGCCAACCATGAGCCTCAAGTCTGGGGAGTCCACACAACACCCCAACCTGACCTGCTGGTCACAAATTCAGGGCTAGTTTCCCACTACCCCTGTTTGGATGCCAGAAGTAAGCTTGGGAGTCCACATGACACCTTTGCTCTCTGATCTGCTGGCTGCTACTACCCCTTTGTGTTCAATACTTTGTTGGAATGACTCACAGAATTCACAGAGAGTATATATACCACACTGGCAGCTACAGAATTATTATAGCCAAAAGGGCTACAAATGAAAAGACATATTGGGAAAGGTCTAGGAGGGTTCCCAATATAGAGACTCCACATCTCAAGGCACACACTTATCTCCCAAGAGCAGATGTTTTCATCAACCAGGAAGCTCTCTGAGTCTTCATGTTCAGAGTTTTTATCAACCTGTCCTGCATGATAGGTTAATCATGCCTCCTGTTGTTGTTGTTAGGTGCTGTCGAGTCGTCTCTGACTTGTAGCGACCCCATGCACAGCAGAACGGAACACCGCCTGATCCCATGCCAGCTCCATGATCCTTGCTATACTTGAGCCCACCATCCCAGCCACCATGTCAGTCCATCTTGTCGAAGGCCTTTCCCTCTTTCATCGACACTCCACCTTACCAAGCATGACATCCTTCTCCAGGGAATGATCCCCTCTGACAACATGACCAAAGTAGGTGAGACAAAGTCTGGCCATCCTCGCTTCCAAGGAGCATCTCGGCCGCACTTCCTCCAGGACAGATCTGTTAGTTCCTTTGGCAGTCCATGGTACCTTCAGCATTCTTCACCAGCACCACAACTCAAAAGCATCAACTCTTCTTTGGTCTTCCTTTTTCATTGTCTAGCTCTCACATGCATATGAGGCAATTAGAAATACCATGGCCTGTGTCAGGCATGCCTTAGTCCTCAAGGAGACATCCTAGCTCCTCAGCACTTGAAAGAGTTCCTTCACAGCCGACCTGCCCAGTGCTACACGTCATCTAATGTCCTGACTGCTGCTTCCATTGGCTCGATTGTAGAACCAAGCAATGTGAATTCTTTGACAACCTCAATCTTTTCTCCATTTATCATGATGCTGCTTATTGGTCCAGTTGTGAGGACCATGCCTCCTGAGGCTAGTTGATATTGGCTTCCAGGTGAGTCTCTTCTGCTCTGGCCAGACTCCACTGCCAGCACAAATACTCAGGTGTGGCCTGGAAGTCCCAGACCAAGGCACCCCAATTATTTCAAAGGTATTTCTCCAGAGCCAAGGACAAAGGCCCCCTTACTTATGATGAAACTAAGTCTTTTACTCTATAGGATCCTTTAGCAAATCTTTCAAACTCAGTTTTTAAAGGATATGATTTTTAAAAAAGTTAAGATCCAGAAATCTAAAAATTGGCTTAGCTTAATCCAGAAAAATCAAGTTGCTTTGTACTCTGGGCATTGTCCCTTTCTGCCAGTTTCCCTTCCTTGCTACCTTATAGACTTATGGCCAGCTTTCCTTATATATTCTCAAGGCTCTACAGGCTTATTCCTTTAATTATCAAGAATTTCTTCCCCCAAATCTAAAGAAATAGATTTATCTGCTACCCTTTTCTATCTTTACCCTTAGAAAGACCTGTTTGTAAATATCCAATCCTGAATTATTTCGGACTAGAAGCAAAAGATCCCAAAGTTACTGACTTTTGTTCCCCAGAAATGAAAGCACAGAAGAAGGGAGAAAATTGGGTCTCTTATCAATTAATATTTATCTACAACATTTAGGAAACACTAATCTAGGGATGAGTCATAAGATAT